GCGGGCCCCAGCCTGTGGAGGATGGGCTGGGACTCAGAGCGCCCAGGGGCCTCCAGCAACAGGTCCAGGCCTCTCCCCGCCCTCGCCTCGGCCCCTGCCCTGGCCTCGCCCACACCAGGAACCGGGAGCACGGCTTTTTGTGCCAGTCCTGCTGTGCCCCAGGCACTGGGGGCTGGCCTTTCCCCTCACCCCCTCACTCCAAACCGGTCTGTCGAGCTGTCCACCCCCAGCAGGGGAAACCTCTCGCCCCACCTCAGCCACCCTAAAAAAGCCAGAGTCCACAGACGCCTGTGTAAATGGGGGGCCACAGGATTTACTTGCACAAGGGGGCAAGGACAGGGAGGTGGAATGAGTTGACAGTGGGACCAGGGACACCATAAGACAGGCACTCCCGTGTTCAGGCCTCCCCACCCACCTCTGGGTGCTTCTGCCTCAGGTGTTTGTCCAGCGTGGCACGCAGGCCAAAGGGCACACAGAAGAGGGGACACTCGAAGCGGGTGCTGCCAGGCCCCAGGCCGTGCATGCGGCGGTGGCGGTTGAGCTTGCTGCTCTGGGCACAGGAGTAGGAGCACAGCTCGCAGGTGTAGGGCCGCTCGCCCGTGTGTGAGCGCCGGTGCACGGTCAGGTTGCTGCTGTTGGTAAAGTGCTTCCCACAGAACTCACAGCTGCCCCCGGGCCCACGGCTCTTGCCCACTGACTTGGGTAGCTTCTTGGGCGACGTCTTCTGGCTCTTTGCAGGATCAGTTCTTTGCTCCTTGGTGTTGGTTGCCCAGCCATCCCCAGTGGGGCCTGCCTGAGCCCCACTGCCAGGAGCCCCAGGTTCCTGGACACCTGCAGTGGCAGCAGCCCCAGCCCCCTCCCCACTGCTGCATGGGAGGGTGCTGGCTGGGGCAGCAGCATGGACGGCAGGCTCTGGGGGCGCTGCAGAGACCTGTTCCTGGCTGGTATCAGCCATGCAGGGGCTCTGGGGCAGCAGCTGCCGATGGGTCTTCTTGTGGCGGTTGAGCTTGCTGCTCTGGGCACAGGCATAGGAACACTGGTCGCAGGCATAGGGCCGCTCACCTGTGTGTGAGCGCATGTGCACCTTGAGGTTGCTGAAGGAGCTGAGGGTCTTCTTGCACACAGAGCAGGTGGGGCTCCGCCGAGTGAGGCTGCTTGTGCGGGAGCCCTTGACCTCAGCAGCTGGGCCCACCACTGCAGACACGGCCGCAGCCACCTCTCCCAGGCCCAGTAGCGGGGCCTCTGGAGCCTCTGACTCGGTCTGGTAGATGGACAGTCCGTGGTCCCACTGGGCATGGCGCAGCAGCTTCCAGGCCTCCATGAACTGCCTGCCGCAGCGGAGACAACTCAAGGCCTTCAGGTTCTCGTGTTCTGGAGTAGGGAAGGGGAAGGGGTTAGTGCTGACAGGTGGGAGAAAGAGTATTTGCAGGTCATCCCCTCAGGAAGCTGACATTCAGAGGGGTAGCGGGCACACAGGCAAGGAAAAAGCGACATGCATGCCACATACGTGAGGATTCTTTTTTTTTTTTTTTGAGAGGTTTTCGCCATAGGGCACGTGCGCTCACCAGACAGAGACACAGAGACAGAAAGCGAGAAATCACCCCCCAGGGGGGATGGTCACGCCGCAATCCCTTCTCCATTATCCTCTCGGGATCTTGGGCACGCAAGCACATGTGCCCAGTGTGAGTTTTAAGCCACCGGGTCCGGGATGCGAACTGCGGTCGACTACGTGGGAGTCCCGCAACATAGCCATTACGCTAACTGCTCGTTCCCAGGATTCTCTTTTTGTATTTGAAAATCGTGTTAAAAGTTCCATTGGTACAGTGTTTGTAAAATGCAGCGCTGAGAGGCAATCCCACGTGGGCCTGTGTTCTCTCTGTACACTGGGCACAGGCTTGCCTGTGGTCTGGGGCTGACTGAGGCCAGGAGTGGACCATGGCATCAAGACCCTGCTGAGGGTGCTGTCTCTCCCTCATGAAAGAAGTTAAAAAAGGCACTGGATCGCACATGGCCAGCAGTGCAATTCTAGTCCCAACCTGGTGGCTTGGAAAATACACTGGGTGTACATGCATGCGTATGTGCCCCAAACCCTGAGAGAAGTATGGAAGAGGGATTGCAGCATAGTCATGCCCCCTGGGGGGATGATTTGTCACCCCACCCCAATCCTCATACCTGAGAGCAGGTGCCCCACAGCAAAAATAAAAAAGCAGAGTGAGGAAGGGGGTGGGGAGCTAGTTTGTACAAGGCCTTCCTGAAGAGCTGACAGAATGCAGGGAGCACTTATCTGCTAGGCGTGTGTCAAGCCTCAGCCTGTGCACAACTTCCCTTCAGGATGAGAAATAGGACCTGCATTTTCCAGGTGGGAATAATGAGACACAGACAGGTTTGGAGGGGATAGAACTGGGATTTCAACCCAGAAGCCTGGGGGGAGGGGGCTGTAGAAGAGGTTTACAGAAAAGGGTTTGTGGGGAACCAGCAGTTAGCGTAATGGCTATGTCGCTGGACTCCCACGCAGTCGACCGCGGTTCGCATCCCGGACCCGGTGGCTTAAAACTCACGCCGGGCGCGTGTGCGTGCGTGCCCAAGATCCCGAGAGGAGAATGGAGGAGAAGGGATTGCGGCGTGACCATCCCCCCTGGGGGGTGATTTCTCGCTGTCTCTATATCTCTCTCTGTCTGTCTGGCGAGCGCACGCGCCCTACAGTGAAAAATCTCTCCAAAAAAAAAAAAAGGGTTTGTGTATAATAATAAAAACAGCGCTCTTTGGGGCCAGTAGGTGGCGTGGTGGTTAAGGCGCTGGACTCCCACATGGCTGACCATGGTTCCCAGACCTGGTAGCTTGCTTTCTCTGCCACCCTGTCTCTGGTGAAAGCATGTGCCATGTAGCATATTTAAGATAATAAATAATTTTTAAAAATTAAACTAAAAATAAAACAACTTTCCTGGATGGCTGGATAGCTTTCTCTGCACCAGGCTCAAACCTGGTGCTCCAAGCGTGATCTTATTTTTCCTCCCTTAAGGTAGAGGCCAAGGTCTGGAGGGGGAGGACACATAGCAGCCATCTAAGTGGGGTAGTAACTAGGTCCCCTACCCTCTGCATGGATCTCAAACTGAGAGCCCCCAAATTTGATGTTTTCTCTAGATATGGGAAGTGTCCCAGATCAACTTGCCTTAAGATAACTGAAAAATCCCAGTCTCTCACGGATGGGGTGTCCTTTGTGACAATACGGGACCAGGGGCCAGAGTGTAGGCCAGAGGCTAGGGAGGGTGGACCAGGCCTGGGTGGCATTCCAGAACCTCCCCTCCTCTCTGAGCCTCAGTTTCCCTGGTTAAGCATGCAAGGGTCCTGGGGGTTGTCCTCAGGTTGTCCTGACCTGGACTAGAGACTAGATGAGCACTTTGGTCTGTAAGTCTTCGGTAAACATTAGGTGCTCAGATTTCTCCAAGTCTGTCTTGGAGTGTTTGGCTCCAGCCATCCCATCACGGCCTGCTGTCACTCACCAGGCCACCCACCCTGCTCCAACTCCAAGGCTAAGTCAATCACAGCCCCTCCTCCTCTCCCACTACTGGACCCTTCCTAGCCCGGCCCTAAATCCCATCCTATTTCCCCAGGTGTCCAGTACCCAGGACCTGATTCAAACTAGGGGCTTCCCAGCTCACAGGGCTGGGAGATTCCACCACGAAGGGAAGCCAGAAGTCCCTTCCCTGGCTCTGAGCATCTGAACCAGCCCTTCAGTCAGAAGCAAGAGAGATGGATGGGAAGGGTGGCAGCCTCCCTCCCCCAGGCCACTGCCCTCCCCAGAGGTCCCCCCTACTGCCACCCTGGTCCAGCCACCTGGCCAGTTATTTCTGGCCAAGGGGAAGGAGAAGTGAAACCAGATTGGGGGGGCGTGTGTGTGGCAAATCCCCAGGCCAGTCTTCTGGGGCTGGCCACACCCTGTGGGCGGCCCTCGTTCCCTGCCCAGCACCCCCCTCTCCACCACTAGTCCCAGCCCAGGGACGACAGGCCCCGGCCACGCCTGGGCTGCGCCCGTTGGGAGTGAGAAAAGGGAAGTAGTACTGCTCAGTGCCCTGCCTGGCCAGCTCAGCCCTGCCCGGGAAGCCCAGCCCTTGAAGTCGAGGGGGCCTGTGCACAGCATTGCTCACCTGAGCCGGGGCCACTGAAGAGCTGACAGCCCAGCTTCTTGTGGTCCATAAAGGCAGTGATGGCTTCCAGCGGAAAGGTCTGCAGGCAGCGGCCGCAGGTCAACAGATCTGGGTGTTTGTCGGTCCACGGCTGGCGGTCTGCAGGGAGGAAGCGGGTGGCGAGCGTGAGGTGGAGCCAGAGTGGGGGCTGGGGGTTCCGGGGACAGGG